CTTTGGCACTCAATTTTCTCTTTCTTTACTTTTTCGAAAATGACGTCGCGCGCCGGTACAGACATTATTCGAATGACTTAGAAACTTATAAATATTAGGGCCTATCCGCACTAGCGTAAAAAATGTTTATTTAGACAAATTTTCTGTCATCACCAGCGCTTCACAAGTGCGGACGGTTTGTCGCGACTTCGGACAAATTTTGTCCGAAGCCGACAAACGCACCGCCGACAAAATTTGTCCCGGGTAAAAATTTGCCATAATCGACAAATGTGTTAAACTTGTCAATCATTTGTCAGAAAAGCTATTACGGCCTGCCTGGTATTGGTAAGTGAATTGAGTTCAAATTACCTTCTGAGGCATTTCCTGCGAAACGCTGAAAACTGGATGCTTTAACAGTGAACGCGTAACGTAAAGATGAATCCCGGCAATTGGAATTTAAATCCAATGGCAAACTATGCCGGTCTGCCCTATGAGTAGGCACACTATATAGGACGCTGAACCATTCCACCATACAACGATCAATTGAACAGTGTTCATGCAGCTGGGCCAAGCTACAGCAATGGTGTGTTTTCCCAGTCGTCACGCCAGTTTCAATCCAACGAAACAGGTGATCGTACAAACGCCTTCGCAAAAACAAAGGAAAAGGGAAATCGAGTTACGACAAATGGTCTAACGAAGAACAGAGTTTCCTGGTTGATCCGTGGTCCGAAAAGCAAAGTTTAGAAAGCAAAGACGCTAGGATAGCGTGGATGGAGATATGTCAAGAGATCGAGATCAATTTTGGAACGAAAAAGACAGTAGAAAAATGCCAGAGGAAATTCAAATACTTTATCGATAAATATAAGGATGCAAAAACCTGGAAAAAAACTCAGAGTGGAGGCCAATTAAGAAAAAGTGTCTTCTATGACAAAATTGATCGTGTTCGTGGGACAAGAGATGTTGTTGCACTTGGTCGAAGCAGGGACACGTACCGATTCTCCAATCTCGAGTCCGACTTCCCCAAGCACCAATGATCATGACTCTGTTGCACCTAGTAGTAGTTCTGGAACTCCAGGCCCACAGCCAAGGACCAGTAGGACAAGTGGAACAAGTTGTGCTGAATCATCCAACGCCGTAAACCGCCCCAGCAGAGCCAGGAAAGAGCGGAAGAGAGCAACGAAGAGAAAAATACCCGAAGATGGAGAAGATGAAGAGGCAACTTCGCTCAGGAGGAGCATCGAATCGATTGAAAAGCAGGGCGAAAAGCTAACGGAAATTATGCAGGGCTTGCAGGAAAATCAGAGCAAGCAACTAGAAATGGTGGCATCCTTCATGGGCTCTCCTGTAGAAGCTATCAAAGATAAAAAATAGGCGACTTTGGAGTTGAAAAATTTATTGGAAAAAGAACTGACAAGTATTAGGAGAAAGGACGGTCGTAGTTTGTTATAGTCATTGTTCACAATTACAAGTGTCATTTCATCATATGTTTACCGTACTATAAAATCATTTTTTAAGGAAAGGAGCGATTATAATCAATGTGATTTAATTTGATTTTGTTAACTGTAATGTGAATAGTTTTGACGAGTCCCAAGCGTAACAGGAAAAAAAATATGGATCACTTATGAGTGTAACATTTCGACAACGAATTTAGCCTTGGTCATATATTTTGTATTTTTGTTAATATTATTGTACTAAATTGGATTCAATTGCTTTATTCGGGTGATTACAATGGGAAAATAACTTTGATTACAATGTTTTGATTCAGTTATGCATTTGCAATGTATTCTCTTAACACACTTCGGACGTCATCTCCATCCCTTATAACATCATCGTCGTTGTTTTCGTGACCTTGATCTCCAGGGTCGTCATTGTCATCGTCATTCCAACCGTCTTGATTTAATAGACTGGAATTGTGAAGGACCGCACAAGCAATAGCAGTTTCGTTTGCAAACGAAATCCTACTATCTAGCCGTTTCCCTAGTATCCGCCAACGATTTTCAACAGACCAAAAGCGCACTCTACTGCTACTCTTGCGGCGGACAAAGCTCTATTAAAAGCTATTTCCTCTGGGTCTCTTGTTGCTTCAGGAAATGGCTTTTGAAGCCAAGAAGCTAGAGGGTATGCACTGTCTCCAACTAGATAGGGTTTGATCTCGTTAGCCCCGATTCGCACAACTGGACCGGTAAGAATCTGATCGTTCTCTGCGAAATCAAATATTGTACTATTCCGCAGAACTCTGTCATCATGCATACTCAGTTCCGGAAACCGACGTGAAGTCAAGAAAGCGATTTTTACCATCGACAATAGCTTGAACAATAAAGTCATGTTGTTGATAGCGACTGAAATAGTCAACAGCACTGTCTGGAGGGGCAGCTATTCTTATGTGAGATCCGTCTATTGCACCAACAATGTTTGGGAAATCAGAAACATCTTGAAATGTCTCTACGCAAACCCAGGTTTCCGCTTCTGTAATGGGGAATTTTATGTAGACATTCCTCAGGTTGAAAAGGGCCTCCACAACGTCTTGGAAAAACAGTCGATCTTCCAACATTGAAATTTGGCCCAATACTTTCATAACTGTTCCCGTGCGCCAGACGATACAAACCAAGTGCGAGTACTTTTTCTGGAGCGATGCAGTCACGCAATCTTGGATTTTCGCGTGTTACGGCAGGTCGCAAGACATTCAACAACATATCGAAGGTACGACGATTCATTCGCAGTTGTTTGCGGAAATACTCTTCGGGAATTCTTCGGTCATTGAAGTGGATCTCGAACCACGACTGGTTTGGTCTTGGAAGTTTCCAAAAGTAGGGGTTGCGTCGACGTGCGAATGTTCGATGTTTTGGCGCACGCAAAATTAAAAGTTTAAAAAATAATCATTACTGTTAAGGTGTTGACAGAATTTGCCGCTTTGAAAATTTGAATGCGGACACCGCAGACAAGACAAAAATTTGTCCTGACAAAATTTGTCCTTCGATTTTGTCGGAACAATTCTAGTTTTGTCCGCTAGTGCGGATAGGCCCTTAGTTGGCCGGTCCAATTACACTAACGACAGATTTTGATAACAAAGAGTTGATAGAAACTTCAATTGTTGATAACTTCAAAACGAACATAGCTTTTTTCCGGTATCTAATTTCAATTTCATCTCCGCGGTTTCAATTCTTTAACTTCCTCGACGATGTCGCCGAGACAGAAGATAGGATATTTGACTGGTTTTACTTTCAACAAACTTGCTGTATCTTATACTTTGGAAGAAATAATTCCTTCCAAAGTATACGCTGCAGCAAATATGATAGAAATGATTTTAAATTAAAGCCTACATGAAACCGGCCTAGTTTTGACATCCCTTCCCAACAATCTTCAAAGAATTGACAATCGCACCTCTTTACTTGAAAATCAGATTTTTCCTCTCTTTCTAAGAGAAGTTAGTCACAAGTTAAAGAATTTTTTTCTTCCTTCACGTCCGATTTTTATTTTTGATATTTCCGGTCACAAATGCTGTTATTCAATATTTTGGCCTCTCCTTGATCAGCAACTATCTTCATACGCGCGTAAACGTCTCACTTTTATCTATGGAGACAGAAAGTGCGCTGGATCACTTTTAAAAATAGAAAGCTAATCGATGTTCGATCGTTTTCTGTTCGCCTATCCTTTGCCGATCGCGTGCACTTAGCTCGCGATGAAGAATTTTCCCCTCGAAAGGATAAGACAGATTATGACAGCTTTCTGGCTTAGTTCTAACAATTTTAAACCCGAGTGATGAGAATAATCAGCTTACGGCACTCAACTCAAGTTTTGTCATGTGCAGTCTTAACTAGGAGAAAATTCTCCACTGCAATGAGGGCATCGGATCAGAGAGCATTGTAAAGTGGCGATACTTGAGCGACCCACGATGTTTAATTCTCCCATCGACCACCCCTTGATAGGAACACGCTACTCTTCCAACTAACCACCCTCTCTCTCAATAACGGGAGATGGCAGCATCCAATTGCGCGATTAAGCTCATGCTTGCCAAAAATAGGCCCACACCGCAGGTTAGTTGTCGACTTGTTAAACTCGACTCATGGATTAGGAAAAAATAAAGCAAATAAAGTCAAGGATTCATAAATCTTATTTTACATTAATTCCATCCAAAAAAGAAACAAATAAAATTTATTTTAGAATTAGATTTTCAGATCAGCTACAAGCAAAAGGAAACGCGTTTCAGAAATGCCACTCAGTGCGAGAATAGTTTTTCATTTTTGTCTCATGTAAAATCGTAAACATCAACGCACGTGTGCTGTGATTCTACGTGCGTTATTGCGATTAAATTAGAATTAATTGAAAATAGTAATTTCCGCTTCGCTTCTCGTAACTTAAAGCAGCCATGGTTCTTCCGGCTACCCTCGCTTAGTCTCTGTGTGATTGATCCTCACATGCCGAGGAAATCACTCTGATTTTGGGAGCTTCACAGACTTAAGACAACTTAACATAGTGGAAGCTGATAATCTTCAGCATTTTAAATCTCAGCTTAAATTGTATTTGAATATTTAATTATAACTAAGTATTTTATTTTCATTTAGACTTAATTTTTAGGGAGTTTTCACATAGGGATAACCTCTTAACTTCCTTTTCTGGAAGCATATTTTCCATTTCCTCTTAGTGTATACATAGTCTGCTTCTGGAATAAATAAAGTATGTATGTATGTATGTAAGTAAAATTTGAAATGTCCACGTTACTCTACAACACATGAAGTAACGACACTTATTGTAGACAAAAGGTTAAACTTCCAACTCAAATGTACAAAACAGAAAGAACATAATACCCTTTTTGTTGCCTCGGGAACAAACTGACTTCAAATATACACTTTCTGTGATTAAAATACCTTGAGGTCCTGATGGAAATATCTTGCATATTTCTTCAATACACTATCAAAGGCAAAATGGAGTCGAGTCACAAAAGCGTATGATTTTTCCCGTCGAAAATTATTCAGTTAAGGAGCTACGTGCTTGTGGAAACTTTCTTTCGTAACTATGATAGAAGGAACTTAAACACAACAGGAATATAATGGTGCGGAAGAACCTTAAAGGAAGAATGAGGTAAGGGAAGGAAAAATAGAAATTTGTCTTCAATATAAAGGCAACTTGCAATCGATAGTCATAGCCAGTTTTAGAAATATAACTTCATTACAGAGGAATTTAATGATCGCAAAAGAAAGAGGTGAGCATTAACAACCACCAGATGTAGCTTTCTAAAAACTATCGAAAAAGGAAACGAAAGGAGAGGAAAAAGCTCTCTTAGCTTCGGTCGCTAACAAAAACAAATCAGTAACAAGTTGAACTTAATTTTTAAGTTCACTTTAAATTCAATAATCAAGTCAATTTTCTCACGTCCACTGGGACATCATCCCTGTGTTCAATCGACAAAAATGCGTCAAATAGTTATTTTCCTGAATTTAATATTTAATACTTGACAGTTACTTTTCATTTCTTTCGAACTAGGAATGGAACTAATTTTAAAGGCGGTGTTTGGAATGATATTTGTTTTGATAATGATCTCACATAGTCAAAGTTCTTCCGCGAATTCAAAATCAAGGAGACTTCAACTACTCATCAAAGACATCATAGCACCTAGGATCAAAAACGCAACTAAAGAGGTACGTGCCGCCGTTAAAGTTGCAATTCTCATTACTGTTTCCCTTCCAATCCTTTTAGTGTTAGTTTAGAGAACTCTAGTGTTAGTTTAGAGAACTTTAGTTCCAAGCTAAATGTTTCAGTCCGAAATGCGCCGTGTACGCATGCGCCGTGCTGCAACATGTGACGAGTACGAGCCGCTGAAAGAGACAATTTAAGCAGTCATGATTTTTTCCTGTAGATTGTTGATATGTAACTAAAAATATCTCTGCAGATGCAAACCACGTATCCTTTCATAACCTCGACGAACGATCTGCAGGAGACAATGATGATGCTTGGAGTAATAGTGACGAAAAGGTGCTCTTCAAATCTGGTATGTAATAAAAGTCAAGTCTGTGGCATACTCAAATCTATCACCCTCCCCCCCCCTACCGCACCCCACCCTACCTCAACGTAAAGGGTTTAACCCACTCCCTTTCGCCTGGCGACTTAGGAACCTTTCTCAAATCCTCTCAACAACCCGCAAACGTTTTTTCCTCGCTAAACCTAGAGAGAAAGTGATCTGTTGCAAACTTCCTCATTTAACATTTGGGTGCATAGCCCTGGTTTTAACATAACAACCATTATTTGAGATTTTCTGACCAGGATGAACCTAATCAAACAGTGCAGATCAACGTAGCTTGGCCAAAGTGCAGATTAATGTATACGGAGGGCTTTTAGATTGATCCTAATATCAAAACCAAAGAAATCTATCGGACAATCGCGAAAAAATCTATAATTATTATGAAGCTAATGAAAGCTCAAAGAATATAAATGTGAAGTAAACTATCTGAAGCACAAGAAAACGCAAACCATCAGCTTCCTTTGATGGACTTTAGTTGGCATCTGATTGGTCGAGAGCACGGTGCGAGTTTTCTACACCAATCATGAAAGGGGCATAAGTAAAACTAATGTCATCCATGATAACTTTTTACACTCAGTTGACAGTCGCTCTCCATCTGACAATCGTAATCCTTTTTTTTATCCAGCAATTAAAAGACAAGCTCACTATCAGTTACTTAAAGCTCTCTAACTACATCAGTCCACTGTACATGGCGTACTCTTATGAAGAAGCACATGGGCACAAGTACACGGTGCTAGCAAGTGTTCTCAGGGAGACAAGCTTTTTTCTGAATAGTACAGTTAGCACTTTAAGACATGAGGTAATATTCTCCCTAATTAACAAATGGTAAACACCACATCGTACACTATTGAGTTATGGATGCACTTGGGAGGTTTGCTAAGCACTCAAGAAGCTAGAGTCGCTCTCGGCTATCGCCTCGAGCGACTCTTACGCTTCTTTCGTGCTTAGAAACCTCCCGCGTGCATCCATAACTCAATAGTGTACGCTGTGGTGTATACCATTTGTTTTATAACATAACATTGATACATTGTAGCTAAAGAGATCCCTTTTATTTAACAAATGTTACGTGGCCAGAAAAAACAAGCGCGCGCGAAATAGTCTTCGCATTTGCTCATGTCAGCAGCGTACACCCATGGGCAAATGGGGGACGCTAAATTGAACAATCAGAGCGCGCGCTTTACTTTGGTTATGTTATAATTCTCAGTATTCAAGAGGACATTCCTCTGATCACGACTAACTTAGTTACATGCACCTAGAGCAGTGATTACTGCACTAAAAAACCTAGGATACCTTAAAGGCTAGATGCAGTTCGTAAAGAAGACCTGCAATCATGATAATACAGGAGACGTAGAGTTACTCTGAGACGACCAGCATTTACCAGATTCAATCTCGATCGAGCAAAGTGTTCATACCTAAGGGTCTCAAGTTTTTAGAAGAACCCGAAAAGAATATGTTTCTCGCCAAAATATTCAGTTCAGTTAACTTGTTAAATGTAATAGGAGACCTTTAACTGGGCTATTTTGCTGAATCCTTTAAAAAAAATCCAAGGCCTCATTTTTCGCCGATAAGAACTCAGATCGAAACTAGCTTTACACTTATAAAATAACATTATTGGTCTCATTTATCTTTGGCTGTGACTTTGTTATCGTCCATTTGAGCATGAATAATTTTCTGTTGGTTTCACCTTCAGCTGCTGATAAGAGGTCACTCTGTGCCCACTGGTCAAGTTATGTTGACGGAGGCGCAGTTAAATGGATACACTCGTGGATATCTGCAAGCACTTGTCAACAAAAAATGGCTGGTAGGCTTACATAGCGATACAAAATTGTAACCATGTCAAAAACAACACAAGTTCTTTAAATCCACTTTTTATCATATTATAACTGTTTTCTTTTGAATGTTGTTTTCTTAAAATGTATGCCATATCATCACGATCAAGCTCTTACATTTGCTAACCTTTTAATTAAGGACAAAATAGTGTAAAAATAGTTTAAAACGCTGTTTTCCAAGACATCTAACATTGACGTCCTAACTTAAGTAAGCACTAGCATGCAATCGACATTAGTTAGCGTTAGTTTTATTAGTACGAAATGTAATGAATCTTATTTAAGTTAAAGATAAATACATCGGTGACGTGCTCCAATATCTCTTACTCCGCTCGCCTACTGAGAAAACGAGAACATCCAGTTAACCCTTTACACCTTAACATCAGATATGCGTATTCTCCATAGTGTTCCCTATACATTTGCGAAGGCGCTCACAAGGAGAATTTGTTTTACAATCAAGAGCTTCTTTAATTAGTGATCATTTCCTTTTTTTTTTTTCGTGACCCTAATGTTTGATTTAGGGGTAAAACTGTAAAGAAATGTTTGACCTTTTTTAAAAACTTGGAAATCTTGTTTGTTTAGAACCTTACCATCACTGATGATGTCGTGAGGATTTACCGGAACTACGTCACCTATTATACCTTTCATGATGTCATCACTGAGGTGTACACGTGCGTCTTTAGTGTATAAAGTCAATCTTTGCTATGCACTCTGGGAGTGGTATACTAAATTAAATTCTAATTTATTTTACTTGATAAATCAGTAACAGTAACTATTCAATACATTTTGTTCTGGTAACTGCGCGCTTCTTGGAAAAATAGTGAAGAAATAGAAATAGTGTTGATCACTTTTGCGACGAAATATAATTGCTAAGAAGGAAAAAATAATGACAATGAAGAATTTCTTTCAAAATTCCTTTGAAGTTGAATTTTGCAAAGACTTTATTTGGTGATTGTCAATAATAAATTGACCTATTTGTTATTCCTCTCGATGAGAGAAGATATTTTTAAGTTTGCTTTCAATTATTAACATTGTTATCATTATAAATACTATTTTATTGACTGATCAGGATCAGTTGTTTTGATGTGATACAACTCAGTATTTAACCTTGTAGGGGATTTTAATAAATCTGTTTTTACACGTTACAGTTTCCATCGTGTTGCTTAATCATTCTAAAACCCACTTCTCTTGCCAAAGTAATCTTATCTGAGTATTAAGTCAAGTTTAAAACTTGGCTCAATAGTCTCTCATCTTTCTTGAACGGTAAAAAGGTTACCTAATCGTACGTGGGAGTGACTGGAGTTCTTCTATCACGATGAATGCACCTGTTTCTCGGAAGATTTAGGACATTCGTGTCGAAAATTAATTCAAACACAGCACAGAGGGTATCAAAAGCGAGGAGGTTTGAACCCTCGCGATTAGTTTTTGACAGAATTAGGTAATCAATATTCTTAAAACTAAAAGAGACTGTTCTAAGTTACATTTCGGTAGTATTGAAAGTAAAAGTCAGGAAGTGAAAAGTTTTGCACATAGTCTTAAATCAGTATGCTTCTCTTCAAATATTTAAGGTAGGGCGCCCAGATAACTTCCTCCAACTTACTACAACATGTACAATTAAACGCAACTCAGTGGAATTCACTCCATAGTTGAAGAAAACAAACATCACAAACAAAACTTCAAGGAGATTCTCTTGCGCTAAGGTGAAACTTTCTCGTGTTAAGTATTGTGCTGTAAGAGCCATCGCTTTAACTGGTTACTTTCCAATCGTTATTAGCAGGAAAGAGAACTCAACGGCAATCGGTACACATTCACCGTTTTCTGCGAACGTAGGCAAGCTTCAGCAAAGAAGAACTGCATAAAAATAGATTCCAACGAAGTAAGTTTTTATAGTGCTTTTAAGGATAAAATCGGCCAATTTAAATAAAAGAGCTTATCACCTACTTTCTAACTATCGCTGGCGTTCAATACAGTTGACTTATTTCAAAATCAGGAAGTCATCGGAGAAGTTGCCTTTATCCCAAAAGTTGTCGAAAGAACATCTCCATTACAGCGTGGAATTTTCGTTCCACTGCTACAAAAGTTCCAAGATGTTAGTGATCGAATGATGGAAAAAAATAATGTTGGCCCTCTCCAAAGTAAATTGCGCAAGAGATGAAAACATGTTACAACCGATAAGAGAATGTTTTCAGCATTTTAACTATTGATCGACTCAAACAAATAAAGGTCTTCATAGCGGGGCAGATCTGTAAAGTGAATCTTTAACCAAAAGCATGATAATCGCCAAGGCCAAAGAGAAAATAGAAAAATATGTTAAGGAGCCAATCGGAACCCAAACTGAAAATTAGAAAGCAAGCCGCTGTTACTGTGGGTAATGCAAGTAACCAAGTCTTGCGTCTGATTGGTTTACAGAACAAGGAAAAGAATAACAATTTAACCGGGTTACTTTCGACACTCATATAAAAAATTTATCAATGAAGGAGACGCCGCTACTGGTAGTAACTATGTGAGTACTACAAGGACTATTATAATTCAATAACCTGTTCTAAAACGGTGCTGTCGCAAATAACTAAATGTAAGTTCTAAAGAATGAAAATGAACATCGTCAAGAGCCTTCAGCAGCGTAACCCTTTACTGTCCGCTGGTGAAAATTAACTCTGATTTTCATTTGGAAATTTACTTACGATGTTAAAGGGAGACGTTTGACCTATGCATTTAAAACAGCAGCGATACTTACTGCAAAAAAAAAAAAAAACCTCAACTATTTCACTTTGATTCGTGATGAAATTGGTTACCTTGGAAATCTTCCATGAAAAAACCGCGAGAACTTTAACTTCCCGCGCCTTTGCTGAGAAAGATGCATACTTTGAAGTAGCCTAGTTTGGTCTAGCATGCAATAAATTACACGTGTTTTAAGTATCTAAAAGATAAGTTTCAGACAGAAGGCAAACTCTTCTATGCGTTTTTATAACATAACTAAAGTAAAGCGCGCGCTCTGATTGGTCAATTTAGCGTTCCCCATTTGCCCATGGGTGTACGCTGCTGACGTGAGCAAATGCAAAGACTATTTTTCCGCGCGCGCTTGTTTTTTCTGGTCACGTAAGATTTGTTAAATAAAAGGGAACTCTTTAGCTACAATGTACCAACGTTATGTTATAAAACAAATTGTAAACACCACATCGTACACTATTGAGTTATGGATGCACTTGGGAGGTTTGCTAAGCACTCAAGAAGCTAGAGTCGCTCTCGGCTATCGCCTCGAGCGACTCTTATGCTTCTTTCGTGCTTAGCAACCTCCAGCGTGCATCCATAACTCAATAGTGTACGCTGTGGTGTTTACCATTTGTTAAATAAAACTGCGCCAGCTAACGAGCCATTTGTAATCAAGTACGCGGTAATCAAGTCTAAATTCTGCATTTTTCAATTAGCTCCTGGCACGTTTGCCGAGAGTGGTGGTTTCTGATCGGTAAACGGCATAATACATTTTTCCATACATGACGTTCCCCTTCGGATCATACAAGTTTTACCACTGTGCAATTTAAACACCGAGCCGACTTGCGCAGTCGCTTATGCCTATCGCGTAATAACGAAAATCGCATGTATTTAATTCATTGACTGCACCAGTTAATTGATCTGACCTCTCTAAACAACCTTCCCGGTTCTATCATTTTATCCAAATAGTATGAATTAAACAACAATTAAAAAGACAAAATAAGCAAAGGCCTAAACAATAAACAAGTTAAAAATGTAAGGAAACTGCTTGTCAGTTTTTTTTTTTTTTTTTTTAAGGTCAAAGCTCAAAATCTGTTAAATTTCGAAACCTATCGAAGATTTGTTTGAGAACAAGAACTGCTCAAAATCTGTTCAGTGTCAAAACATACAAAACTTCAGTCTTAACAATAAGCATATTAAAAATGTAAGGAAACTACGTGTCAAATTTTTTTAGGCCAGTCAAAGCTCAAAATCTGTTCATTTCAAAACCTAACGAAGATTTGTTTTGAGAAAAACCAAGTGCTCAAAATCTGTTCGGTGTCAAAACATATGGAGAAGTGGCTGCCAATGTGCTCACTGATAAACCAATTATGTCCATTTTGCAGTGACCTTGTCCTAAATGGGTTCAAAATGGGTGGCACACCTCAAACCGCCAGTTACGTTCTTAGAATTCTTGTCCGCTGAAGCATTGGACATATTTGTTAGATTAAAACAGCGTTTAATAAAACACTTGACTTTTTTAAAAGATAGCCATAGATATGTATTCCATTATTCAAACTATGGCCATTTGCATTCGACTGAACCATAGAGAAAGTCCTATAAGCCATAACCAGCCTATTTGGGTGTTTTGTTCGGGAGAGAATCGTGTCTTTGACTTCTTTATACCACTTAAACAATAACAAAGTGCTATTAGTGATAATTGTAATGCCTAAATCAGTGTCGTTCGAGTGCTCACTGCAGGCTAAAAGATATTTCATTTTTAACCAACGTGCTTTATAGGCAAAAGGTAAGATTGGTAAATATACCCTGCGTTAAAATTCATCATAATCAGCGCAACAAAAATTCTACATTATTCTCGTCCAAGAAAACTCCTTACTCGAATGTTTTGAATTTTCATAATAGTTTGTTACACATCGATTGTGACTGACTTTGACCCCACTGTGTGCGACAATGAAGAACATTTAAGTTGATTTGAACTCGATACATGCCGACAACTAAGTCATGGACTCCTGCATAGAGCGATATTGACCAAAATGAAGAATCTGCTAAGAAAAAATTCTCCAACTCAAAATCGATATTAAATCGTTCTTTATTCATAAGTCATCATAATTAAATTCGGCTGTACGGAAACTCTGTTATTATATTAAATCAGTGAAAGGCGTCATTATTACCATTTAGGATCGTGTCTTAACGATAAAGTAATTGCAGAATCAAAGTACCACAGACTGGTACGTAAATAAATAAAGACAACTCAGAGACAAACAAACTCATTACACAAAGATCTCTACTGATCGATAATATGAAGAAGACATTTGCAAAACTTGATTGTATTCTTGGATTCTTGTCTGTGCGTATTCTCCGAAATCAGCACCAGCCTCGATAAGTAAAATCGCACATTTCCAGTTTCCCCGCCTAACTGCCGCATGTAAAGGTGTCCAGCCGCTCGCATCTTTCAAATTTACGTCCGAGCCGTGCTGTATAAGAAGCTGAGCGCATTTCAAATCCGCATTTGCTGAAGCGATATGTAGTAACGTTTGCCCGTTTGGAGTTTGAGAATTCAAGTCCAGATCTTGCTCTTCTAGAATACTTTTAGCTTCCGCATAAGCCTTTTCCGTTACTGCAGAGAAAAGAAGAGTTGTAGGAGTGAATGAGATACGCTTTCGACTTCGCGCGCTCCTCGCACTATATTCACTCGAATCCCACGAGTCCATCGAACTGGAACTTAAACTGGGACTTTCGTGACCTTGGAGCTTATCTCTTCTATTCTCGGCTGGATAAACCTTTCTTCTTCTTCTTCTTCGAACCAGTTTCAGAGGAAAGCTGTGTCGTAAATAAAGTACAACTTTCATCAACATTAAAACCCTCCTAAAGTATCCCTCGTCTAAGTCTGTTACCTCAGCGGCGTCGCCTCTCGAACAGATCCGACTCCTTGGCGAAGTATCTTTATAAAATAACCGGTTGTTATCCGAATCTGTTGAAGTTGTATTAAGTGATCTCCTGTCGCCGGAATTGATCGAGGTCTCAGAACTTTGCGAGTAGGCAGAGTCCGAAAAAGAGTCGTTCTTTTCTGTTTCAGGATAATCGGAACTCGACGTTGATATTGTTGCATGTTTACGGTTATAAGAAGATAAGTGTTGGTTTGTTAACCCACTATCACGGTTTACAATGATACGGGTTTCTTTGACCGATTTCCCGTTTACTGCCGACTGACGACTCCACTTTGGTGATAATCTCAACGAATCCAATATTCTTTCCACAGCTGACATCGAACTTTCTTTCTTTGGCGTCCTATCCATTGTTTAGCTTCCCTCACTATAACCGCCGCTTACAATAGTTGACTTTGTAGTTTCTCTATCATTAACTGAGGAAGGCAGAGAGATGCAGGACCTTACATCTCCGTCACAAAGTAGCCTTTTGTTGGTCATATACACTTGTTTAACTGTCGTTTCTTTCGATCGCTCTTTCCTGTTGTTAACTTTTTGTAGCGACTCACTAATGTTCTCTGGATAAATGACCTTTGTGCTGACTTCCTACGCGAGCTTTTACAAAATGAAAGAACCAGTTTAAAACTTCGCTATCCTCACGAACATGTCCAGTTGAACTAATCACGCGCAAATGACCGTGATTGCTCCGAAATTGGATTTATCAAACAAAAGCCCTTCGGGTCATGCCTTCTCTACCACTTAACACGGCATGTTGTCGTAAGCGACGTAGCTGCTTGACATTAAAATTTCATAAGACTTTGTAATCAATCAAGCGAATAAACACAGCCAATTGAAGCGATTTGCATGTAATCGGTATTGTTGTAATCCCTTTGTACTTATTGTGGTTCATTTCTAAAGCCGCTTACTAAAAGACGTCAGTAGAAATTTAGAGATTTGGTTTCACGATGTAGAGCAAGCTAAATTTCAGAGAAAAACAAAATACAGCAAGACAATCGTGAGTAGCAAATGCTCCTTAATAAGAGAAAATAGTTGAAAAACCTTTTTTTGACTCAGAGTGGGACACAAGGAATGTACAGTTTAATGTTCAAAGAGGTCTCTCTGTACACCACCCTAGATTTGTTTTTATTCATTATCAGCAAGCCATTTTCGACATAGAAAAGTCTACCTGTTCCTCAAAACTGAAAACATGCGAATAATAGGCATCGCAGCCGACTTCGATAAAACTGTTCAATGCCTGACAGAAACCATTTGGAAAATAACCTCTTTGGTTGAGTAGGAACATCATTCAGCGCACCGGTGGTTTACGTAATAGCCCTAAAAGAATGGGCGAACGCAATTAGGAAAACGCCAGTCAGAAGCCTCTCACAAAGCATGGCTAGCACCTTAAGCGCAATAAAAAGCGGTTAATAAAACCGGTTAGTTTCTAAAGAAAATTATCAGAAACTTTAAACGACAACGTGTGAAGAAGATAAGAAAGTAATTAATGACGCAAACTGAAGCTTATCTGTGTAACTATGCAGTTATTGAACGAAAAAGTATTTGAAATAGTTCAAATGCCAATTGGACTTTTTTTTCAAATTGAAGTGACCTCACTGCATGTAAGCCGTTCTAGACTTCCTAAGAGGATTTGAAAATTTCGAAAAAAAAATTGGCATGTAAGCCGTTCTAGACTTCCTAAGAGGATTTGAACAATTAAAGAAAAAAAAAAAAATTTGACAAAGCATCACATTTAAGCACGTGAGTAAAGGGATATGCTATAACCCAGTAATTACCGCCTAAAAAAATTCAGTGAATTGTGAGTTACAAATGACGGTGTTTCTCATTGCCTGGGTCAACAATAACATCCTTACTAACTTTCGAATTCCCTTCCTTTTAGTACTTTACGTTTCAATGCTCGAACTTCTGCATGAAAAACTATCAATCGATTAGAAATGCAGCGCAGAGTTTTCAAGGCATCAAAGAAAAATATGTCCGGTGATACATATATCTTATTAACCAAGCGCGAGGGCCGTACTGGGAGAATATCGGCCCGAGGTCTTGACAGTACGGACCTCGCTGCGCTCGGTCCGTACAAGAAAGACCGAGGGCCGATATTCTTCCAGTACGGTCCCGAGCAAGCTTGGTTAATAAGAGATTTATTATACGACTGAAGTTCAAAGGGACACAAGTGCGGTATCATTCGGGACCATTCGGGACAGTGCCCGGTCCAATACT